TGACTTGGTACACGGATTAATTTTGAGGTGAACTAAACAATTTTTTGATTCGGTTTTGTTAGAGTGTAATTTTGAGTTTACTAAAGATTCACGCTAACTTTTGATTACAGTGCGAGCCGTGGCCTTGAATGTTTACGAACTTGCTCCACTGTGTAGTCCACTGAGTCACGCAACAGAGGGTTGCTGTGCGATTCCGCTTGACTATAACGTCGCTGCGCCTGAAGCTTGACATAATCCCTCAAGTAAGGAATGTCAAGGTCTCTGGAGCGTTGCAAATTGTCCGCAAAGTTCTGCTTTGCAGAACTTGAAGACTTTGCATGTGTGTCTTGGCAAGAAAACACCAAGCCGCACATGCATAAGTAATGGCTGGTCTAATAATCATTTTATATAGTCGAACTTTGTTTATCAAACTCAATTTGGAGGATCTACATAACAAAGGATATAGTTGCTGAAACGCAATTTGGAATTTTGTTTTTATGGATGCTGTATGTTTCTGCCAGGTCATGCCTTTATCAAGGGTGACACCGAGATACTTGGCAGAATTTGTCCATGGTACACGATTTCCGTCTACAGAAACCTCTGCTGGGGGGCCGCGACGTTTTTTGGTACAATAAATAGCCTGCGTTTTCGAATGATTAATTTTTATCAGCCACCGTTCCGCCCACTCTAGAACTTCGTCCACCGCATTCTGCAACCCATCGTGAACCAGATCACCAGTACACGACTGGGCGACAAGTGCAGTGTCGTCAGCATAGAGGTAGACTTCACAGTTGCTGGGGGAAGGGACATCATGGATGAAAAGCGAATAAAGAATTGGTCCTAGGACAGAACCCTGAGGAACACCGCCCCGTACTGGCCGTGTTGTTGACAAAACATTATTAATTTTGATCCGAAACTTCCTTCCTTCAAGAAAGGATTTCAGTAATTTTAGAAGCCAAAAAGGAAAACCCTTTTGGATTAGTTTATAGAGGAGGCCCGCGTGCCACACCTTGTCAAAGGCTTTTGAGACATCCAAAAGCAAGATGCCAGTACTCATGCTAAGGGTGAACCCTCTGGTTACATGCTCCACCAGCCTGACTGCCTGTAGCTCGGTGCTATGCTCGGACCGAAAACCGAATTGGACGTCAGGAATCACATGGTGATTTGACGAAAAATTCTCAAGGTGACGATAAATCACCTTTTCGGCGAGCTTAGAAGGAGCTGACAGCAGACTTATGGGACGGTAATCCTGAGGAAATATCGAACCCACCTTCTTTGGAATCATGATGACCTCAGCAGTCTTCCACCCAGCAGGGAAGTACTGGATTTTGAGCGTCGCATTGATTATTGTCTCCAAGTATGTCAGGGCTTTCGGCGAGAGCAGCTTCAACGCCTTGTTGGTGATTTGATCCTCCCCAGGTGCTTTACGCACCTTGAGGTCTTTAATATGACTTAGTAACTCCGCTGGTGTGCAATGTGGAAACTCGGAGGGTTCCGCTAATGTGCTATGTGGAGCCTCAGACGAATCTTCTGAAGAAGAGTCATCTGAAGAGGATTCAGTGCCTCCGCTACCGCCGTTGGCCCTACAATATATCCTGACGGATCGTACGATGTGCTGTTCCTCGTCGAGGTCATTATCGAGATCATAGTTGGGACAGGACTGTTTTTCCATGACATCAGCGAAAACCTCGACCTTATCCTCCGTTGTGAAGACTATGCCTTCAGGACCGTGGATGTGTGAGAGTTGTTCTCGCGTTCCGTTTCTGAGTGACTTTGCGACCCTCCAGAGAGGAATACTTGAATCAAGCATTCCCGCCAGAAAGTCGCTCCATTGCTCGTTGCGGAGTTCGTGCAGTGCGTTTCTCACTTCATGGACAAGATTTGTAGCCCTACGAATGTCATCAGGATGATATATGGCGCTTTAGCGAGTTGTTGATGTTTCATTTGATTAGTTTATGATTTGGTGTGTTGTTAATAAACATTAAATTTTAGTGAAAAACAGTTAATTCAAGCATTGAACTATGGTGTACTGTGCAGTGGTGGGTTGTAAAAACAACAACAACAAGAAAAGCAGAGACTTTTCAACCTGAAGTTTCTTCCATTTTCCAAAGGACAAACAAAATAACAAATTCAATACGAAAAATGCTAGAATTTTTTCAAAGAGAAGCTGTTGGGATTACCTGAAAGGAAATGAAAGTTGAAAAGTGATGCAATACCCTCTCCTCATTTGATCAAATCACCAGAGGCTGAGACTCCTTGCAGTATAAGAGTGGGAAAAAGGTTAAATAGAGAGATTGTACAATCAACTGATCAACAACTAGATGTAGAAACAGCAGAAGTACAAAATGAACGTGAGAAAGACGAAGAGAATATTCCTGATTAAAATAGATCTGCATCGACTCAAACAAGATAAAAAATAAATAAACCATATAATAAATAATTAATGATGAGAAGCAATATATACAGGGTAGCCCATCCATGTGTGGACGGAATATTAGGTACTCATAAACATTTCTAAAATATTGGCCATTATACAGGGTGTCCCAATTTCGACCTACATATCAAAGTTTTTTAAATGGAGTACCTCAAATTTTATTGCATATTTGGATAAACCAATTCAAAAGAAGAAGATTGATTTAACATACTATGGGGTTTTGCTAATTACGAGGGATGTCTTTTAAGTTTTGCATATAGAAACATAGTAGGCTGCGCGGATCGAACTTCAGTACTGAATCTTAACCTCACTCTTTAGTAAACTTAAATTCAAAGATTCACAACAATTCGTGCAGTGTTCTCACTACAGTGAATTTTTAAGTGTCATCAAGTCATTAGAAAAATGGAACTCAACCGAGAACATTTTCGCGCCATAATTTATTGCAACTTTCAGAGACAATTATCGCAACAAGAATGCCTTGCTGAGTTATTGTCTGTTTTCGGCAACGAAGCGCCACATCAGACGATAATTTCCCGTTGGTATGAAGAATTCAAACGTGGACGGGTGAGTCTTAGTGACGATCCCAGAGTGGGTGCACCAAAAACGGCTGTCACCCAGGAAAGCGTGATATCGCGAGATTGAGGCGACCTTGAAGATCTCAAAGACCTCAATTCAAAAAATTTTAGATGAAGAATTATGAGTAAGAAAATTAGTTTCTCGTTGGATACCCCACCCGTTGACTGAAGAGCAGAAAGCAGCCAGGGTTAATTGGTGTCAAAAAACGCTTGACCGTTTCAATTCTGGAAACTCAAAAAATGTGTACAGCATTGTTAGTGGTGATGAATCGTGAATTTACTGTTATGAACCAGAAAATAAACGACACTCGGCTGTTTGGGTGTTTCAAGGTGAAGAAAAGCCAACAAAAGTCATCCGTTCTCGAAGTGTTTCGAAAAAGATGGTCGCGACATTTGTGTCAAAAGCGGGTCATATTGCAACAATTCCTCTTAATGAGCAAAGAATTGTTACTGAAATAAGAATCATCCTTCACCAAGACAATGCAAGCTCGCACACAGCCCAAAAAACAAGGCGGTATTTAACGGAAGAAAATGTGGTCAAAGGTTCCAGTCACCAGAAGAAGCAGTTGACGCATTCAAAAATGCCGTTTTGGATCTGCCAGCAAACGAGTGGAAAAATTCGAAAATTGGTTCGAGCGCATGCAGATGTGTATTAATCTTCGTTGAAAATACTTCGAATAACAATAAAGTCATTTAAAACTACCTACCGTGTTGTTTTATTTCCATATGCAAAACTTAAAAGACATCCCTCGTATGTCGGCCCATATTTTGAGCAAAACTACCTAAAATCCAAAAGGTTTTTATTACTCAAAATAAGGCTATAATCATTTCTTACCAGTTTCTCGTAACCGCTGAGCGATTCGTTGGAAAATCTTTGAATTAGGCAGGTGTCTATTAGGGAATCTGTCAGCGTACAATTTTCGTGCTTTTAAAGCATTACGTCTTGCCAATCCGTACATTAAATGCATATCAGAACATTCATCAAACGTATATACTCCAATGTTTAATAACTTATTGTCAACTTAGATTATTTAAGGGTAGAATCTAGGTACACTCCCAGATATTTAACACTGCGCGAAGAAGTTAGTTGTAATTGTTCATTTTGGTTGTTCTTCAGTTTTATGTTTAAATTTGAATATTTGGGCATATGTCGTTCACAGGATGAAAATGGGATGTAACAAGTTTTGTTGTAATTTACGGTTAAAAAGTTTAGAGTTGAACCATTTGATAATCTTGCAAAATTCTGGTTCTGCTAGAGTTTTTAGGTTTTCCCAGGTTTGAGAACTGTATATGATGGCCGTACTGTTCATTTTTCAAAAGCTATAACCCTTATCTATAATGATATATTCCAACGCACGACCCGCCCGATTCCTTCTTGCGGCCCCAAATATTGCTAAATAATTCCATAGTGGTGGCTCCCTTTTTCTTTATTTTGCCATCTTGCCGACAGCTGATATACTCCATTGAATTCTATTGACAAGTACATCAAAATGTAAATAAGAAAGTTTATATAATATTAAAATAATCATGTGAAATCGAAGTATTAAGATCACAGAGCTCTAATACACTGCATTTCGTACTGCGCGCCAGACAGTTGTCTCCGACTGACGTCATGCGCAAAGGCGTACGAAATTCGATCGCGAAGTGAGCCTATCTTCTCGGGCCATAGTATCATGTGTCAACCTTATGTATTACTTGCTTAAGATATGACGTTCATTGCTTCCCAGGAAGCGAGGTAGGAAAACGTGCTCCTGATATAAAATTGGCGGGAAATCCATACGTCTCCTGACATTTCTGTTGTCCTGATACAAAATTTTGTTGGTTGACAATGATACTATGAATCAAAATCATCAAATCTTCAAGCAACATTTTAGTACCACGTTCACAGAAACACGAAGGAATATACTCTTGAAATAAAATTGTTGATGACAAACACCATTGGTTAAGATCGTCTGACAACCTTACGTATTATCTGTAGTAAAATAACAAAAATCACGTATAAACCATTTATTCTGCGTTATATAGATGATATAATGAAGAAACTACATTATCCACATATAAATTAAGCATATTTAAGTGAGATACGAAAAATTGTCTGAAAATTCTTTAAAATTAAATCATGCATTACTTGAAGTCGCTATATAAAAATACATCAGAATTTTATTACAAAGTAGGCAGTGTGTGCTTGGCTTAATAATGAATAAGCCATTTTAACTATACTCTCTGATTCTACCAGAATTGAACAATTATCGTTTAGTTAGAAAATAAAATGATAATTTTAAAAGTATATTCACCCATTCTTCGTTTTTTGATCTGCCTACAAAAATGTGTTTTTGAAATGTGACTTAATCAGAGTTCACAGAAGCAGCTTCGTATATATATAGAGTATTTCAACGAAAATTTAGTAACAGCCTTAATTCACAGAATTTGAATATTTACTTCAACACAATGGTCGAAATACAATAAAAACTATGTCTCTGAATATTGAGAAACTTGTTAAATAAATAACAAATGTTCAATACAACCGAGTAGCGAAAGTGATATCCAAAGAAAATCACTATTTCAAAGGTTTTTCTTCATTACTCCCTAAAGTGAGGTCCGGTATTTTCATTCGTTTATTAACTAGATAACAAAAACTATCGCATCACTCAAAATAAAAAAAAATATCACTGAATATCATTGGCTGTATGGATTGCAAGCTGATGAGAGTTTGAAATCGCAACAGTTAAACAGTACCTACAGCTACCTAGTATTATTCAAAGTATACAGATTACAAAGAGTATAACCATTTTCAGAACACATGTGATTCTTCCATGATGCTGCCAAGGTTAGGCCTGTCAGGTGAACCCACCAGACTTCTGCTGCACATTAAATCTTTGTTAAACCACGTACTTCGAAAACTAGCCGGTACCTCGCTTGATCAAAGTAATTGCACATATTGCAATAAAAAAGGGGTTGCTTGCTAGCCTTAACGTCACAGCGACCCTAAAGTAATTGTATGTGAGATTTAGAGTCAACAAACTCGATACAAAGTTAAATTACGTTACGTTAAATTTACTTGTGTTACAAAAACGCAAAAGCAATCATCAAATATTCCTAATGCCGCTACTAGAATCTCCTCCAACCCGTGGCAAAATAACTCTGCACGCAGGTCGCAGCTCAGGGAGTGTGAGGCGAAACTCGAGAAATGTAGCTGAAAATATAATAATTGGCATGGTTGGAACTTCTCAGCGTTTTAATTTGTCTGATAGTTGCATAATATTACCGATCAAAAATAGAATGTCTTTTACTGATACTACAGACGCAACATTTACAAATGTTCAACCCTTACAATTGTTTTCTTATAATGATCAAAAGTTGTTGTTTGAAATACCTAAACCTCTGTTCCAGTTATCCATCAACTTCGAAGAAGCAGAGTATCTGCAACATCCAAGCAAATCTCCAGAAATAAATCAAAGTAGAATGGATAAGAAATGGCTACCCAAGACGACCGATAAATGAAGTTCTGAAATAAAACAACAGCAACAACAGTAGAAACATGCGCATTGAACCAGAGGATATACACCAATTCTGCCATATGTTGACGGAATAAGTGATGCAATCAGAAGAATTAGAAGCCGATAGAAAACGAAACTAGATTTTTAAGGAACAGCACAGTTCGCAGTATCCTCACAAAAACAAAACCCATAAATAAAAAACAAAATACCAAGGATTGTGATTACTAGGTACCATCAGAGATATACAGTATCGGACAAAAGTAAAGCGACGCTATAATATCCTTAAAAAACTTTTTCACTGTACCTCGTATGATGACGAGCAATTTTGTAGTATCAGTACATATAATACCTTGGTTTATCGTATTTAAATATTCTTTGCCTCTTGTGATAACATCGAGAGATAAAGAAATACCTTATATGTTTTTATGCATTTTTTCATGGACAAAAATAGAGCGACTTTGCCCATATTGTTCATACCATTAGTACATAAACATCGGTTGTGGTCGGTATCAAATGTTATTTTGTGTATAAAATGCCTCGCGGTAAAAGTTTTTCTGTTGATCTTAAAGAAAGAATTATTGCATCATATAAGATGGGAATACCACAATATAAAACAAGAACTGAGGGTTTCAAAATCTGTGGTGTCGAGGACAATTCAGAATTATCGAATTAGGGTCAACCTAAAACAGACGGGAAGACCGAGAACAACTACAAAGAAACTTGAGAATTAAGAGGATCTCTCAGGCAAATCCTTTTTTGTCAGCAAAACAAATTCTGGCTGAAGCTGAGGACTCTAATGTTTCTTCTCGGACTATACAGCGCAGACTAGTTGAAGCAGGCTTAACGGCATACAAACCTGCAAAAAAACCGCTTCTTAGTAAGAAGAATATTAAAGCACGTCGTCTGTTTGCAGCCCAACATGCTCATTGGACACCAGAGCAATGGAAAAAAGTACTGTTTAGTGATGAGTCAAAGTTTGATTTGCACAAAAGTGATGGAGTTCAATATGTTCGGCGTATTGCAGGTAAAAGACTCGACCCAAAGTATGTCCAAGGTACTATAAAACATGGAGGTGGAAACGTGTTAGTGTGGGGTTGTTTCTCTGGCTATGAAATGGGACCAATTTATCACATTGAGGGCATTATGGATAGGTTTAAGTATAAATATATCCTTGAAAATATCATGCTGCCTTATGCAGAATGGAATATGCCACTATGCCATTCTTAAATGGCCAGCCCAATCACCCGATCTTAATCCGATCGAAAACCTGTGGGAAATTGTAGATAGGCAACTTAGAACCAAATCCTATAAAAATAAACAGCAAATTTTTGAAGAAATTGGAAATATCTGGAAAACTATTGATCAAAACATAATTGATAATTTAATTTCTTCCATGCCTCAAAGGTGCCGCCAGGTTCTCGCAAATAAAGGACTGTGGACTAAATATTAGGAAGGCAACATGATAATGTATTTGTTTTTTGAATATTGTTTTGTATTATTTTTATTGTATGCGTCGCTTAACTTTTGTCGTTTAAGAATGTTTGATTTTTCTTTTTCATTTTAGAATCTTGTCAATATGGGAGAAGTTTGGTATAGAATGTAATAAATGTATTTCTGTCAATGAATGTATTTGTTTTAATGAGTTTTAATTCCTCTTGCGTTATTGCGTTTTCAACAGAAGAAAAAAATATATCGTCGCTCTATTATAATCCGATACTGTACATAGGAGAAATAAAAAGGCCACTCTCAATAAGAATAAAAGAGTATACATCAAACACGGAAAGGGGAGACGAATAAATCTGGAATAGCAGATCATGTTTGGACAGTAATCCAAGTATTGAAATTAAACCAGTATTGCAACCGATTATGAGAAACATCAAACCATTCCAAATCAATCAACATCACCACCAACCACCGGCTATGTCATCAAATGGTATACATATGTAGTCGATGACGATTCAAGATCACATCGATCGAAACGTTGCGAGTTAAAAAAAACTTTATCGTCCGGAGATATTTGAATTTTGCATTGTTCTAAAATTTCACAGATACATTTTATATACTTTGAAGTTGAGTCATTAATTTTCAGATAATGATTGTAGAAGGAAGATACCAAAATATGTGTGTAAAAATAAAAAATATGGAGGTCCGAAAAACAACTCTCAATGATCAAAAGTCGCTGAACGTCAAAATACGAGGTGAGCGCGATATTTATTTTTTAATTTTTTTCGACTTTCAAAAACCATGTGTTCACATCCTTGGTATAGCAGCAACCTTGTGCAAAAATTTCCTCAACATCCAAGCGGTTCTGTCCTTAGTATAGCGGAGCCAATGATTAGCGGACAGACAGACTGATGAAAATGAGTGACATGGTTTTTCGTGATGCAAATCATCTCTAAAGAGAACCAATATAGTCCACCACTAGTCCAGCTTAAATTGTATTATTCTGTAAAAACAAAACTTTCTATGTATACAATAGCGCATAAAACCATCCAGTGCTAACACATAGGAGATTTTTCACCATACTATCATATTGGCTGTTGATGTAAAAACTGATGTAGTCGTCGCCGTGAAAGAAACTGATATGTAAAATATTGTTAGATTTTTATATCCCTTAAAAATTTTATTATTTGTTACAAAAGGTTTCATTCGTAACATCCAAAAGAGATATCTCATTTTGGAATTTCGCCAGTTGGCGTGGGAAGTAAATTTCTTAAGCGACGCTGCACTTTATACGGTTTTTGCGTCTAACTGAATAAGGACAGTAGTAGAAACAGATGACCATACTCTTCGAATTCTGTATACTTTGGTGTCATTATAACTAAATTGTTATTTTAAGTAATACAACAAAATTAAAACGTAACAAGCCATTCATAACTTAAAACTAAGTTAACCAGAAACATATATTTTGATTTGAATGTTCGTCGAAGTGTGGCATCAACAGAGATTCGACAAATGGATCTATTTCATCGATTTTCGGTCGACTACACACTTCTCAGTCGTAAACTCAACAGAATTGTCTAAAACAGTCTTTGCAACTCTTCAAGGCACTTTTGGATATTTTTTGAAAATCATGGTTTCGACTTTATCAACTACTATAAATATATTATAAATAACTTAAATATCACAAAACACCATATTTTCTAAATATCCTTGTTTAAATAGAACTACTACGTATGTATATATTTTATATTTGGTCACAGAAAAGGAGAATACCCAAAAGAGTTACGAAAATAACTGTTTTTATGGAAAGTATAAATAAAATATTGACATTTAAGTATGTGCCTATAGACATTATTTTTTATAAAAATAATATAAAATAAAACTTGTTTTGTATCACCCATGTATTCAATGAAAAGAATATTTTTGAAAAATATCTTGAAGACATAATATGTGAAAACGTCAAAAGGTAGGTCTAAAATCCTATTTGACGAAAAATGTGAAAATCTAATTTAGACTAAATCATAAATGACGTCTGTCCATAGTTATTTTCCAAAAATATGAGTATTTTTGTAATTGCTAAGCTTTCCTATTGCTAAGCTACTTTTAAAAGCCTTATTTGTTAATATATAACCTTAAATAGAAGCATTAGATCGTACTGCAAGTTTATCAGTGATTAAGATATTAGAAACCAATGCTACCAGTCAATTTTATTATTTTTTTTTTATTTGATGTTTAATGATATCAAATATCTTAAGACCTGGGCGACTAGATAACTGGAAACTATGCCGAATATGCAATTTAAGGTTAGAGAAAACCTGAACGTCCAAAACATTTCTCTTTTGTTACTAAGCTGAATTGTGTAATATTCTGCGGAGGCCACTTAAACTTAAACAGCTATGTGCTTACTTATATTATGGGTTTTGAGAAAAACTACTGTTTACTTTTCGCGAATGCGTTATGAAATCAGTGGTTATTCTCACCACCTGTAAATTAATACATAGCCACAGAGTACTACCAGAGACGACACTGTCAAAAATCAGGTTCTATCAACGCCAACTTGAGATCCATGCAGTTTTATCAATACAAATCAATTATCTGGTCTAAACGCATCTGGGAAAATAATAAACACAAATTACTTAATTCTGTAGCTCGATGTATGACATTCGTGACGTCAGGCTAATAACGCGTAACAACCCCTAGGAAAAAATCCTCCGGACGCTAATGAACATAAACGGGAAATGTGGCAAGCAGTTGGGGTTGGGGACGCGAAGATCAACGGGACCGACAGCAGGTGTCGCATCTGAAAGAGATTATTTTTTTTCTAATCCCAAATTCGCATACTCGACATGGCAGCGAGTTATTTAGGCAGGCTAATCTTAAATTCGCATGAACTTGCAATGAGATCCCAAACACGATGCAAATTATATAGGAAGGATAAACTGACAATGATCAAGAATATTAAAAACCGAACAATTAGTGAAATGGCTAAAAAATTCTAGAAACAGATTGTTTTCATTTAACAAACTTATTGAAACCGCAATACAAAACTAGCTAGTTATAATAAATAATAATCGTTCGAAGATATCAAAATAATTTGGTAAAATTTATCTGAACACTTCCGATACCTGACTGTGTACGATCGAGAGAGCTGTTTTGATGAGGTTCATCAACAGAAATTGCCGCGATAGAAGGCTTCAATAACTTTAGGAACACCTTCATCCAAGCCTGCAACATCAAGGATATTGGGAGACCCATCACAGGTTACCATGTGTGGGTAGGATAGACAAACATTAATCAACCTAAAAATGTAAAAAATATTCTTTATAAAGGATGTCCCACATTCCACGCAAGAATTAAATAAAAAATAAGTTTACTTACTTTGCTTGCATCAAGTTGAACTTCTTCCTGAATCTATGCATCGTGTCTACAGGTTTTGACATTTTTTCTTTAACTTCTTTCGGGATCGCTGAATAGTAGTCCTTATGATGGATAAAATTAATGAACACATCAATATGCTTTTTTTGTGACATGGCCCATTCAATAGGCGATGAAAGCACCAAAAACTTCGATTTGTGTTCTTTCAATTTCGATACATGTTCGTTCAAATGTCCCTCTACAAAAAAAAAACAACAGTATGTTGACAAGAAATAATGAAGATTTTAGTGTCAAACGATTCATTTGGAGGTGCTTAAAAAAATGATGACCACTTGAATTTTTGATGACGCGCCCGAGCATTTCGAGTGATAATTGTGAAAAAACCAAAATCTTGAAAGCTTCTTTATTTGTTAATAAAGATAATCCCAAACAGATGGTTGTTACTTTCTTTCCAAAACTGGCGATGAAGTATTGTAATCGCGAAAAATTTCGAAATTGAGATAATATTTTTGGATGTTATATATCATCACGAAAAACCATGTCACTCATTTCCGTCGGTCTGTCCGCTAATTCTACACCTTAGGAAAAACCATTGTTATACATGGGAAATCATTTCTTGGCAACAGCGCATCGGCTCGTCTACTTTCATCGCTACTCGTACATATTTCCTACCGTTAACGCGCGTGCCGTCGTCAAGTGCGATAAGGGATTCATGACTCACTCTGCGGTTGGGTTTTGTGTAGGAAAGGTGCGTCTTTATTTAATCCAAAATATCTTAAAAATGTACTCGCAAGAAGAAAAGTTTCAAATGATAGAATGGTACATCCAGAATAATTCAGCACGCGCGGTTGTTGAATTATTTGCGGTACGCTTCCCAGATCTGCCAATTCCGTCTCACGCAACGGTTATAAATACCTACGAAAAATTCAAGAGGGTGGGCTGCTTACATAAGTGCCATAGCTGCATGCACCCTGAAGGTTGGAATCCAAAAATTAGCGAGAAAAGGGAGGAGATCGAAACTGCTGTTTGTGTCGCTGCAGAAGTATCTGAGCCATGCTCAAGCAGAAAAATTGCTGAAATGGTACCAATAGCCGATCTCACACCCAGAACAACAAGAAATATTTTGCATCGCAACGGCTATCATAGCTTCAAGGTTGGAACGGTTCAAGAAATATTTCCTTTAGACAAATGTGTGGGCAGGAATTCTAGGTAATAACATTATCGGACCGTTCTTTATTGATGGAACTCTTACGGCTGCAAAATATTTGGCGTTACTACAGACGCAGATTGTTCCTGCAATTAGGCAGCTTGGCATTGATCTCGCTAATATTTGGTTCCAACAAGACGGATGCCCGGCGCATAATGCGGCGATCGTACACACTTACCTTGAAAGTGTGTTCGGCCACCGGATTATTTTCGGTAACGGAACAATAAAATGGCCTCCTAGATCACCCGATCTAGCGCCCAATGATTTTTTCTTGTGGGGTTATGTGAAAAGTACTGTTTACACTTTCAATGAGAGAGCAGACAATTTGCATAACCTACATGTGAAAATCGTTGAAGCGCTGAAGGAGACGTTTTTGAGCCCCAGCTGTGAAGGATCATTTGAAACATTTGTGTTCATTATTGCGTTTTATTTTTGAGAACTTATTTTTTTGTAAGAATATCTTTTTATTTTCGTTACACATTTTTAAGAGTGTACTATTTTTTGTTAGAGTTGGTATCTTAGTTATGAGACGCAACCTTTATTGCTACAAAACCAATTATCCATTCATAAAAATAAGTAGAGTGATTTAGGTGATTTCGTGAAATCTCGAAATCACCGAAATCGGTTCACAGGACGTCCAATCGAACTGGTGCGTAATGCGCGCATCTACTGTACTTCTTCTGTCGACTCAACGCATACTGAAATTTGCAGCAGACCGCAGACCTGTATCACGAATGAGAATAATAGGCAGATACGCTGTGTTGCCAATTTGAGTAGAGCTTCCCGAATTGTGGGGAATTTAGAGTAAAGTGTTGATTCATTCAAGCTTTTAATCAGCATGGCCTAGACGTTAGAACTTCATAAAGATAACATTGAAGCTGAATGCTGCTGGAGTATAGTGTTTCGAATATTCAAAGCGGAGCGGGACACTATACTCGTTCAATGGGTCATCAAGCCACAGTCTTTTCAACAAAGAAATTATTTTACGAAAATGCGTTATATTTTTACGATTTTGTCGTCACCAAATCTCTGTTTCTCAAAATGTACGTCTATTATAGAATTTTCAGCAAACTAAGCAAGAAACGTGATCTAGTATTTACTCAACATTACGGATTTCTCGAAATACATTAAAAAATGTGACCTAGATACCTAACTGCCCCAAGCTCTTTAAATATAACACCTTAAACCAGGGTTACCAGGTGCTCAGTCACGTTGATTGTCATGTTGTACTGCGCAAGTCAGCAAACAATCTGGCGTAATAAACGTTAGGAATCATCAGGTACTGCCAGATTCCCGAATACCGGGCACCATAGTACCCGTTATAGTTGTCCTTCAAAGTTGTCAAATCGCCCCTTTGGCGCAAATTCGCCACACCAGACAACTGTGCTATAAACAAACCCTGTTTATCACTACTATTTGATAGTCATATGGTAGTTGTAGCCCTATCTAGCGGTCCATGATTTCTCTCAATACTGTTGTATCTCTACTGGCAACAAGAATAGGGATTACAGAATCATTTATACAACAATATACAAACATGAAAAGTATGATTTGAACCATGAAACATTAATACAATTTTAATAGTTTGAACTTTTTTCATTTTTGGAATACTCTTATGTGGAATCCGCAGCTATTTTTCCCGAAATTTGGGTAGACTTAGATTTCTTAGAAATATGACATATTGGTATCGGCAACTCTGCGAATGGGAGAAACAAATCGCATTTGTTGAGCGCATCCGTCTAAGCGGCAGGCGCCAGCGCCCGTTCTGCCATCTCGCTTTTATCACTCTTCTACTTTACCCCGTTGTCCGTCACACTCCGACGCTGCCAGATAGGATCCTACAATCGAGTGTCTTTCACGCACCTACATACTTTTGTATATTTCCATCTCTCTTCCTCATCATAATGTATAATAATGGTTTTCCGAAGGTGTATAACCGCCTATAATTTGAGAAGTACTGCTCAGATTTTAATGAAATTTTCACACAATGTTTAAAACGAACCAAAAAATCACTAGCATCGTTTTTGAGATTTTGGAGGGTCCTAATCATTTTTAGAAAAAATTAGGTAGCGGTTGAAATTTGGTGGTTGGGGGTTGTAGGTGGTGAGGGAGGGTATATGATTTCTTTTATCTCTTTATTTATACCCTCCCAACCCTGGAAATTCTATGGACCTATAGCCATATTTACCAGTACATTCTGGCTTATTGTATTCATATTGCCCAAAAAACATACTGATATTGCACGAATCGAAAGAATGCCTATGGACTAATTGTATAGGCCTGTTTGACTGACTTAATGAGTTTAATTTCTCTGTTCTACATATCTATAACTTTAAATTGCACTGAACTTAATCCTTTATGATCTGATGTTAGTGTTGCATAGGAAGTGTAGAGTCAACCCACTTGACGCCATTTTTGGTATGCATCAAAATAAAACACCTCTAAATGAATCACTTGTTATAACCTTTTGAAAGAGCATTTTTAAAGGATACTTACTCTTGTCTAAATGAACAACATAAATATCTTTATCCTTGAAAACAGCTACAATGACATCCTTCTCTACTCTAAGCAAAAACCAAGCAAAAGCTGCTGCAACCTCAATGCCTGTAATATTCCTGTTTCTCAAACAGGGAGTATCAATCTTATCTGTCACATCAATAGTTATAAGGAACCTTTTATTGCAAGGTTGGACATTACTACAGGATAGATTCATGCATTTCTGAAGATAGCCCATCACTATAGGGCACTTAGCCTCATTTGGAGTTTTAAGTTTAGCAAGTTCAGCTTCTGTTAGGTTTCGTTCTTTTACAAGGTGGTCCAGCAATTTTGGATCCAATGGCCTGAAAGGAAGCTTGTCTAACGTTTGTTTCCCTTGGTACAAAAGTGCTGAATAGACATTTTGAAAGAATGTATTTAACTTTACTTGTAGTTGACAGATAAGTGACAGCTACCTAAACAAGTAACAATATGCAATTGCCTTTAGATTAACATACCTAAAGATAGCCAACTACTAGTCCCACAATCAAAAAATTATATGAGACGAAATGAGATACTGTAGCATCATCTATGGACAATTTGCACAGCTATGTTTCTCCTCTCCCCACTAATTGGAAATCCTAGTTATAATATATTGCATTACAGCCAACAGTATTAGTACAGGGTGGATGATATGTAAATTATTGCTTCGTATCTTGAATATTTGTGAAATGAAATAAAATACGTCCATTTTTTTCATCTTTATCTTTTATTGAAACTTCGAAATTATGTATGAAAGATAATATCTGAGAAATGTCCGCCTCTAGAAGCCGCGCAAATCTGAGCCCTCTCCGCAACAAACTGGGACTCGACGAGGATGTAGTGGTCATTGAGCGATGACACGAGGGTTCTCTAATGCCCACATATGACAATTCTGATTATTAGCAAATCCATTGGGCTTCATCGCTCATTATGAGTTTTCGGTAAAAATCGTTATTTTGGGTATTAAGCTGCAATATTGCCTGACTGTATTGTCGGCGAGTTTCATGGTCACTAGGCTGTAGTTCTTGGGATAACTGAATTTTGTATGGCCGCAAATGCAAGTATTTTGACGTGCGACGAATACCCAGTTCTTGAGAACGAAGTCTGGTAGACGTTTCAGGACACTCCACTACACTTTCACGAACTCTCTCGATATTTTCAGGAATACGAACAGTTGGCCCGACCTTGACAAGTCTTTAACTTCACCTGTTTGTTCAAATTTCCGCACCAACTAACGAAGGGTATTGACAAAGGGCACATTATTTTGAACAAAATCTTGTCGTAGCTTCCGAGTCGTTGCAACAATCTCATTATTTCAGTAAAACGTTTTAGCAATACGGACGCGTTGTGGGATCGTGCGGCGCTCCATTATGAATTGGACACATGGACAACTACTATGGCAACACCTACCGAAATGCATGTATCAAAAATGGAGCGCAATTTAAATCAGTCAGTTATATATTGTCCACCCTGTATATAGCATATATGTATATGGCTATAGCTCCATCTATGAGCTACTAACCTTTTCAAAGTAAATTTCTAGTTACTGTGAAGAGGTGAAACATGTACAGGTACAATACATTGATCAATGTTATTATTATTAAAGCTGACTGTTGTAACTGAGCATTATAATAAAGATAATTCTTTATCATGATCTCTATTACATTTTTGTCTAGTCCTGATGTATTTAATGATGTAAAGTTACATAAAATAGCATTATTTAAACAATATTTTTTTATATACTTACTTGCCCCCTTTTTCAAAGTTTTTCATGTGGATAAAAACTTCGATTGGGTGTATGCCACTAGCTCTGACTCTATCAGAACTATTCAAAGCCTCATTGATTCTAGACAATGTTGGGGTTTCTTTTTTCAAAAATCCTAACTTGTAAAGTTTTGGAAGTATGTATAATACTTCTGATAGTGGCATATTCGGAAGAACTGCATGCCAAACCTAGATAGAAAATTAATGATCAAGTTAAGGCATGCATGCCTCAAGTTTTGGATAATATAAGAATGATTAGGTTATGGCCCTAGTTCTCTAGAAAGTTTTCAAAACTGAATGCAAAAACACTGATAAAAAATGGCACTTTTCTTGCAAAAAGATTTCAATATTACATTGTTATGACCATATCAAAAAATTAAAATTTATAATTTTAGGTGCCTTACATCTGCTGATTTTCTAAGACTGGGTTCCACTTGGTGTATAGTAGCTTTAAGTTCATTGATAATAGGCAAAGCAACTGTGGGTTCTTTAGCACTTCTTAACTGCTCAGATTTCTGCATTAGCTCTATGCAAGTCTTTGCTTCTTGATTGGCATCCTCACTAACATTTTTGTAGAGAATATAATTCATCAATGCCTGTTTTACTGAAAGAAAAATACAGTTACAGTATAAAATTGGACATATCTAGATTCCAAACTCATCTGATAAAAAATTCACCTTTGGCCAAAAGTTAGGCTGAATGAAAAATCTCAATTCACAAGAGGTTTTGCAAATATGTCGCATAACTAGGGAATAAGCCTCTGCCAAAAAATATACCCTCAGTCAAACCCTAAATTATATATTGAATAACAAAAGACAACATATTGGTAGGTTCTTAAGATGCAATGAAAATTTCATTTATGAAAAATTAAAAAATAAGATCTATGCATAATCCTTACCAATGGTATCTGCCTTAACATGTCCCACTTTCATGAGATCTTTATGACTCCACTTGTGATAACTCTTGCGCATTGTGTAAGACTTTGCAAGCTCCTGTGCAGTTTTTTGAGTGTAGAACTTTGATACATGTTTTGCAACTGTATGAGGAATCTTTGACTTGTTGCATATTGTTCGATACAGTGACACAAACTTGATGAAGTCAAAGAAATCTTGGTCTGTTTTACAAAGTTTCAAGACTGCTCCACATAATTCAGGCTTAATTTGATTTGAAGTTGTTGGCAAGCACACAGCAAATGCTAGTATACTGAAAAGTTGAGATCTGCATGGTATGAGTTTTTCATTGTTAACAGCTTCAAGTTGCTTGAGTAAAACAGTATGAGATGTCTTTAGAAGTTCACTGAAAAAGTCTGTTTTGTCTTGAGATGGAGATTCGTATTTTTCAAAGCCTCCACAAATATATTTTGCATCCAATCTTCCCAGGTATAGCAAGCGTAACAACTTTTCTTCATTTGAAAGTTTTGAGGCTGCCATTACTAAAATCACCAGTATTGAATTAAAAGAAAGAATTACGTATAAACATTACGATAATGTTATCCTAAGAAAAATGAAAGAATATGCTGGCTATGCAAATATGAAAGAAACCCAGATAAAAATACTGCAGTGTGTTGCAGAATGCATAATTCAGAATGCTCTTGATGATTCATTGTATAAAAATTAGGGCTTGAAAAAATTCCTTAAATAGAGCAGTTACAGCAAAGATATATAAGATATACAAATACATTTTTCTAGATATTCCATTAATTTTACCAGAGAAATAATTACTAAATTTTTATCTCACGTCCCACACCACAAAAACATTAATGGAAATACTCACTCAAAAAAATCTAGAAATCCCCGCAGATTTTTGTAGATTTCACAAATCTTTTGTAATGAAAAGTAGATCAACGTTGCCACGTCTGACAGATGAAAAAATCATCTGGGAAATGTCATTGAACTAGAAGGCGTATTCTTTAATTCGACGGTTGCCCCACCGGTGCAACCGGTTAGCCAATTTACGTCTTTAATTTCCGTCTGAACGCCCGGTTGTATAGCAAACTTGTCTTTATATTGATGGTGGATACTATAGTGGATTCGACACCGGTGCCAACAGCACCCACCGACGTTCAGACACAGAACAGACGATATTTGAACCTCTACCATCTACATTTAAAATTGAAATGGAAGCAGGAAAGGTTGAAGTGGTGTTGCAACATAAGAGTGGCGGGTACTGTTGATTTTAAGTTATACATATTTAAAAAATGTTTGTTTTTCCGATTTATAGTTCTTTTATTGATTTTTGAACAAATTCTCCTGATAAATCAATTTGAAAAAATCATTTCTACATGTTCCAAGTCAGTCATCATTTGAAGTAATGGATAATGCATTGGGAAACAAAGCATCTAGTGTGCCTCCACCACAAAGCCTAAGCTCATTCACAGGCACGTAGCCAGGGGGGCTCAGGGGGCTTCATTATTTGGTCGTAGAGAGTAATCTAACACATGTTTTCAACAAGCACCGTAATTCAAGGAACTGGTGTAACGTAATGGCAACGAGGCAGATGCCGCATCAGCGTTGATAGCCAATCCGGTGATGAGCTGCGCTATCCAGCCGGCTTCTATCTCTGTCTACCATATGTGTCTAGAGACACTTCTCTCTCGAACACATTGAACTTAGCCGTCAGACAAATTTGGATTTCGGTGGAGTTTAATGACACATGAAACGAGGATCAGCGGAAGTTCTGTTCTCTACTCACAATGACGCTTATGGTCAAATGTCATGTCAATGTGTCGTGTTCTGAGCATATCAACGACATCCCATCCTAACACTTTTGACACATTGTTGAAAAAAAAAAGATCTCTGGGGAAAGGTAAATACGCAGAAAATTATTGTCTCCCCGCTCTTCAATTTTCAATAGTCGGTAACCCTCCTCCCCTTATTCCCATTGTCACAATATCACAAGAACATTTGCCAGAAGTCCAGCCACGTCAAAATGTCCCTCTGGATCCGCCCCCTGTGAACGAACTTTCGTTAATATTACTCGTGTCTAACAACTTCTCATCCTCACTCCTGCTTTTCAATGGATTCTTGGAGTATTAATAATCCTCAACCCCGCTGTTGAGTTATCGTGAAGGCTACTTATAGACGCTTAGGCCAGTCACGACTCCACCTCTCCAGGCGACAAATCCATTCCAATCTCTAATCTGGAGTTTTATTAGACTCCTAGTTAATTTTCACTTTAAGGATTCGCTATTTCTGCCGATTTTCTCATTAAAACCCTGCGACCAACGTGACTGAGATCCTGGTAACCATGCCGGGATTCTCTATCTTTATCTGAATGTAAGAATATCAAATATGGCGTTTGTTTTGGTTAACATCTACATTATCAACGCTGATGCTTTTGGAGATATTTCGTAAATAATGAGCACAAAATATAAAGCAACACCATCAGTAGCTGTGATGGTATACGTGAGATGTATTGTGGCTATTGTGGGAGACGCAGAAGTTCAAGAGACTCTGTCATGTCATAAAGTGCTAAGGTAGAACTGAGCAGACTAATTAAAAGTGACTAGCTTAGTTACAAAGAATTATGAATTACATTAGTGTTTTCTGTATTGTTTCAGAATTATCAAGAAGCGGTACAATCAAGTGAGACACTTGTGTTTTGCAACACTCAAAATGCATTTGTAATAAATCTATCTATATTTTCATGCAATACAATTTTTATACCATTTGTCAACAGCATATGGATATTTTTTGAAACTAAATAAATTTAGTGCTTCATAATTAGTGTTGGATTTTATTATTCTGAACCTGTTTCTCTGCAAAACTGCTGAAATATATATTACCCTTATTGGGAATATTTTATGAAAATATATTCATGAAATATACCTTCAATGTCGGAAATATCATTTTCAGCAGATTTCAAATTATGAACCCCGGCAGCCCGGCACATTCCTAGCATTCCTTATTCCAGGCGCATTCTGGGCATTCTTTCGATATATCTCCCAAATCTCCATGCAAGTAGGCAGCGCAACCATCTGACAAAACGTCAACAGTGTTGCCATTGTCTAACGTGCAGCTCGCACTTCTTCAGTCTTATGTGTTTTGTGTTGTGTATGTTGGATTGTTGGAGGTTGAAGTGTTATGTGGCTGGAGTGGGCTGGAGTTGTGTGAGTGGGATGAAACTCATATGAGCGAATGGGAAACAAAGCAGTGTTGCGGGTGCACAATATGACAACCATGTCGCACCCATGCGGGCTTATTTTCAACTGACGTTGTCTGATTGGTCAGATTTAAATTTCCGGCGGGTATCTTCCTTTGGCTATGCTTTGCAAAAATATGCTAAGCCATTTTCGTTGTGCGTCACATAAACATTTCATTTTGATTGAATAAAGTCCCTATTATATATGTTATTTGAGGCATATGCCTTTTGTGAAGTATAAAAATGTAAGTACCCAAAGCTGTAATATATTTGTAAATAGTATAAGACAAACTCCAAACCAAAACTGTTTCCTCTTTAAGGTGATCCAAAGTGATTTAAGTCAGTAGCCAGGCTTCTGCAGATGCTGAGGAAGATCAGAGATGCAGCGGTTACTCATTTGAGGAGTGTAATATTTGAAGACCATACCTGTTGGAATCCCCACATAACTTTTTGAACAGTGGAGCATTACGAAAAGTTCAGCCGCCGGTGTCAACCCCCTGAGGTCCTGAGAATTATCAGAAGTTCAGATACTACTAGTGATCTAATCAGAAGGCACAGTTCTGAAGGATATTTGCACACCATAACATTCATAAGTTTTTATAAGGCTCAATAACCAGTGATGATTTATACTGCTTTTTGTCAAAAATAGTTTCCGTACTTTCTTAGAGCAGGGTTGATATACGAAGCTTAGTATAGTTTCAATGGAATTGACGCCATATGTTATTGAACAATAACATGGGTGTCCACAGGGCGGTGTCAGATGGGCTGTGGTCTCTTCTGTGAATCCACTTTGACTTTAAAATTTGCATATTTAGCATGGTTTTGTGTACAACTTTGCGAATTTTGTAGAATTTGTCCCCCCTGAGAAAACTGCTACTTCTGCTCATCAAAAAATTTTGGAGGCAGGTACAATTTCACAATAAGTTACGTCTTGATGATGATCAGCACTCCTGAGAAAAAGGAAAAAGGAATCTGAATTGTAGTAACATCAACACAGTTCAATTTTTTCCTAATTTTTGATTCATGCAGGTGCCAACAAAGGCTGGGGAATGGAAACATCCGGACCATAATAATGTCAATACTGATTTGTTTGTAGAAAAACATATGAGATTTATATAATAAATATATATTTAGGTATTTGCAGTTGGTATATGTTTTTCTTTTGAACCTTTCCAGATTAGTAATAATTAGATATGAGTGATAACAGCTTGTGTTATTGACGTTGCGATTTTAATATACAAAAAAACACTTATTCGTCAAGAGAGCGCAAAATTTTAATAGCACATGCTGTTATAAGGTCTCCCATACCCCACTAAATTTCTATATATAAAATATAGCAATCTCAGATTTATTTGTAGAGCTGGTAACGTAGCGGGGTATTAATGCACAATCAGGCAACCGTGTCGCACCCTCAAAAAATGGCCGCGGACAAGCCAGTGTATATATTAATCAAATTCAAGCGGATAACCAAATGAAAATGGTATTTACCATTTTGGGTTGGTATTTACCGATCCGTTCATGTGAGTGTGGATATCAGTTTGATTATAAGATCCGTGACGTCATGAATCAGCAGTTATATGTCATATTTATCACTGCAAAATTGTGGTATTTACCCAACTCATGAGTAGTTTTATATTTCTGGTTATTATTTGAAATGTGACAAGTTAGAATTTTGCCGGGTATTGGATATTGATCAAATTCAAACGGATAACCAAATGAAAATGGTATTTACCATTTTGGGTTGGTATTTAGCGATCCGTTCAAGCCAGTGTGGTTATCAGTTTAGTTATAAGATCCGTGACGTCATGAATCAGCTGTTAAATGTCGCAGTTATCACCGCAAAATTGTGGTATTTACCCAACTCATGAGTAGTTTTATATTTCTGGTTATTATTTGAGATGTGACAAGTTAGAATTTTGCCGGGTATTGGATATTGTTATTGTACTTCATTTTTGGGAAACTTGATCCAGGCTGACTTCAGTGTTAGCATAAAGTGGAGCACCTTATCAGTTATACTCATTACTGTTGTTGGAAACACTTTCAATCTATAAGTCAACGCCAAACAAAGTGGCGTGCACGTCATCACGATAAAAATTCCCCGACCTAATGCCTAGGTTTCTATCACAAACAATTGCTCTATTGCAGTTTCATATTAATGTGATATATAAATTGTAAAATGGTCATTACTCTCTTATTATGGTTAATAGTCATATAAACATTGTTATTAAAATATCACATAAGTTGCTTTCTGATAAATTTAGACGCATTATGCGAAATAAAATGTTTTGCAAACGCTCCAATCACTTATCGACATGTAAACGCACTAAACCGATTTCGCAGCGTTGACACATTGTCACCTTGAAACTTATTTAAACTGGGAACTGACATTTGTATTAATTTTGACACTGAATCAATTTGTGGCATTTCAAATCTTTATAAATCCTTTGGCCGCGCATACTGTAAATCAACAACTGTTTGTTTCAAAACAAAATTATTCATTTTACGAGTAGATAAAGGCAATTTTGGTATATAAAGATGCCCAAACAGTTAAGTAGTCGGTGTAAGGAACTCGTGGCCTCGTTAATGCACTACTTTGAGCAAGAAAGGGACAACAACGGGCCTTTGTTGCCTTTAAATGCTGTTCAAGAGGTAGGTTACTAATAATTATATGTAATGTATATTAATAATAGTGAAATTTTATTTCATTTTTTGTAGCGTGTTGCTGCTGCTTTAAAAATTAGTTTAAGGACAGTTAGTCGTATTTCCGAGGGTGTGAAAAGTGATGCAAATTTAGAATCGCCCAAGAAAAAGCGGAGTTATATTAAACGTGTAACCAAGACAGCGACATTGGATACAAGTGCCATTCGAGAAGTGATCTATAATATGTATCACAAAAGTAAGATCTTATTATAATAACTTATCAGAAATTTGCATTAATTTGTTAACTAAATTATAATGTCATATTACACATGGTTTCAGAAGAACAAGTTACGATACAAACTTTATGGTCTCGATTAAGAGATAGGGCATTATTTGATGGTAGTGCCACGTCTTTAAGGCGGTTGCTTAGAGATCTTGGATTTAAGTGGCTTAAGGACAATCCGCGACGAGGGCTCATGGAACTACCAAGTATAGCTTTGAAAAGGGTGGAATTTCTAAGGCAATACAATCAAGCCAAGGTTGAGGCCTTATACCAGTTTGTCTTCCTCGATGAAACTTGGATATTTCAAAATGGGACCATAGGTCGCTCTTGGCAAAATGGAAACCAAAAAAGCGTGAAAGCTATTAAAACAGATGGTAAAAGGTATGTACTTTTATACAATTTGCACTATAAAATTTAAAACTAATATATTTTAGATACATTATATTACATGCTGGAAATGAAAATGGGTTTATTGAGGGTAGTGAAGCGATATTTTCTTCGAAAACAAAATTGAGCGATTACCATGGAGAGATGAACCAGGACAATTTTTTGAAATGGTTTCAACATCAGTTATTAGAAAAATTGGAGAGTCCATCTATGATTATACTGGATAACGCCCCTTATCACAGCATGATATTGAACAAAGTGCCCAACAATGCATGGACAAAAAAAAATATCCAAGACTGGTTGACAAATCAAAACATACCATTTTTAAACACAATGTTTAAAACAGAGCTATTGAGTATTGTTGCTCGGTACATAATGCTTCTTAATTATATATATTTTGGTCGACAGTTTATATTTCTTTTGTTTATTCCTATTCTTAAAATAACTGCTTTTTTAGAAACAAACCACCTAAAATATACGTGATTGATGAATGGGCACAAAGTTCTTCGTCTGCCTCCTTACCATTGTATATTTAACCCTATTGAGTTAATTTGGGGCACAGCAAAAGGTTACTATAACAGACATATTGGTAGAGATGGTAACAGTGAAAAAGACTGTTTGGATATGTGGAACGAGGCTCTACAAACGGTTACCCCAGACATGTGGAAAAATAGTGTTCGACATACTGAGCAAGAAATTTTTAAATGGTATGAAAGAGAACGAATTTTTGATCGACCAGACATCGAACCTTTAATAATCAACTTTGAGAGTGATGAAGATTCAGATTCAGACAGTGCTGAAGAAAGAAACTCCGATTAACTTTATTGTACAGAAAAAGCTTACACCAGTAGCTTACCTAATTTTAGAATGCATTTTTCTGTATGAATTCTGTAAAATAAATACCATGCATAAAATTTGGAGGACCCCATTTGGATTTTTATTCAGTACCTTTAAGCTATCAATTAAATATGGTAGTTTCATAGTGTCATCTGATCAATAATTGTCATACTTAATGATTATGCAAGTACAGATCTATAATTTTATTATACTATTATTTTTGTTCTCATTTGAGGTTAATATTGCTTATAAACCTAGATATGTAAATAATAAATTTTATTATTTTACAAAAAGTTTGGCAACAATGTAAATTTTTCAACACACCCACCTTGATGACGTGCACGCCACTTTGTTTGGCG